GAGGAGATTATAATTTTAATCTTTATTAAAATTTTCAAGAACTATTCTTGATATGGAAATAATTCTCAAATTTCAAGAACACTTCTTGATTTACAACTCTTGTGATCTTTTTTTTTTTCAATTTTCTTGTTAATACAAGTGTGTTCATGTACATCACCTATGTACACCTATTTATACTAAAACATTTAGATCACAAGATGCCATCTTGTATTTTAAAATCGTTATTTTAATCAAATTAGATGGCATCTTGATCTAAATGATTTTAATAATAAAAATGTCATTAGATCCCATCTAATAATATTTTATTATTATTTTAATCTTTAATCAAATTAAAGATTAAATATTATGATTTATAATTTCTGAAAAATAAATATATAAATAAATAAATTTATCAAAATATATTATTTCTCATATTTATAAAATCTCCTCTTATTATAATATGGATTTGAATTTTAAAATCTAATTTTAAAATCCAACTATTAATTTAGTAATTCCATTAATTACTTAATTAATATCCACAATATAATTAATCAATCAAATTGATTAATTTAGTATATTCCTTTAATTGATATCTAATTAAAATTAGAATTAATTAAATAATCAAATTAAATAATTAATACTTGTCAATTAATTCTAACTCTTTAGAGATACTAATTTCAAATGATCTACATTCAAAATTGGGTGTGGCCTTTTAGGTTCACTATTAATACTAGTAGTGGGGTTTACAACTCCTTGTAATTTAAATTAATCAAATTAAATCTTATTCTTTGAATTAACTCCTTAATTCAAGAACCCACATATCATGAGAACATCTAGCAAGTAGCATGAATCTAGTATTAAGTGAATAGCGAGTAAACCTTTTCGATTACAAGTCCATACATGTAAAATCCTTTCGACATCCAATTTCCCGATTAAATTTTGGGTATGATTTAGTCGAAACCCAAATTGATTTAATAACTATGATTCCATTTCAAGTTTAGTAATTCATATATGAATCTCTATTCATCCCGCCTTGGCCAAGGACTTTGAATTACAAACTATGAAACACATAGGAAATTCACTTATCTCATAAATGTCGAATCCTTTCTTAGCCACTGACAAACTTCCATTCATATTAATATAATACCCAAAATATTCCTTTATACGACTGTGCTAGCAATCAAAAGGATAAATCAAAGTAAAATATAATATGCACAAAGTTACTATCGTGCCTCAAGTCTAAGGATCAATCATGTACTATTGTAACATGAAAATTCTTATTCGACATAATAAACTTCCATTCAGAATTTTCATACGGTCATGTTCAGTGAACTTGTTCTCTAACAAGCACCCACATATATGTATTTGCAACCATACGCTAATGTTGATGAAATGCAACATTCTCGTCCAACGAGCATACATCATATGAACAAGTCTTACCGGGTTATTCGATGTCCTGTCTCGAAACACCCATCGACTTGGAACTTATTTAAGATCACAGTTTTAAAGACATGTTCCATGATTGCCATCAAATGCACAATTATGTCTCATAGCTAATAATGATCTAAGGACTTTATCATATGTGCAATTATAGGATAAATGCAAAAACATAAGATAAAACAATACCTTAAAATAATATAATTCCACTAAATTGTTTTTACAAGTAGAAATAAATCCAATCTGATTGGAACGCCGGGTATTCTACTCTAACACTAGATTCTACATCATTTATAACATCCGTACCATGACTGAGGTATGTTCGAGACAGTTAGTTCTCCCAAGTGAGAGGCCGACCTAAGGGCCTTCCTAATCCACCTGGTATCCGGCTGGGGCTTCGGCCTCAGTGTTTGGATGGTGTGGACACGAGTGGCCGAGGGCCGAGGGTCGACGGACCAAAGTTTAAGAAAAGAAAAGAAAATAAAAGAAAAGAAAAGAAAGAAAAGAAAAGTTTACAGTTCAGCTTTTATATATTGATGTTCATGATATGTTATTATTTATGTTGTTTAATTCAGTACTGGTCTTTGCGGAGCATAGTGGTTTGCTCACGCCCCCATTGTGTTTTTCAGGTGACAGAGTCGAGCGGGCCGGGTGAGCTAGTGTGGCAAGCGTGGTCATGAGCCGTGGACATTTTTACCATCATTTTATGTACCACCATTCATGAACCATGTTATGTATAAGTTTGTATGATTGTATTTCATACTTTCAGCTTCCGCTAAGTTATTAGTGCGAGACAGACGGACTGCATGTATAATTCCAGTAACGCCATAGTGGCTCGATTTGGTTGCATGTTTTATTATGTCCGAGATAGTAAGTTAAGAAAGTTTTCATAGCATCCCGCAAGTAAGAAAGTATTTTCGAAAATAAACTTGCACGATATTTCAAGAATAAAAGCGAAAAATTAACTCTGATTTTCAAAAGTCAAAGTTAGTTAAGGCGGGGCGTTTACACGACGGTCGTCTTTCAACACCATCGCCGACCCTCCTCAGCCGCGCGACTCCATCTTCGCCAACAGCGAGCCGCCGTGACGAGCAACGAGTTCTGGCCGTTCGTCCGACCCTTCAAGCAGTAGTAGGTGTCAAACCCGAACAGTAGCCTATGCCGACATCTTCTCTTCAGTCGGTCACGAGCCGACGACCTTCGAGAGTAGCGGCTCCTCCGCCGGCCTTTGTTTAGCGGGCCCGGACAGCAGCGGCAGCCCTTTCGGGCCCGTGCGAGAATAACGACAGCCGTTCGAGGCTTTTAATCGAGCAGTCGGGGTCCTCGAACATTGGCATCGATCAGTAGTAGTCCCTTTTCCATTCAGCGAGCAGCCCCTTTAAGCCCCGATCGTGTTCGTCGGACAACTTGCAAGTCCCATTCACGTTGGGCAGCGACAAAGTTGAGAGCCTCTAGCCTAACCCAAGCTTCGTTTCTTTTGTCAGCCCTGTTTTAATTCGTGAAAGCAGGTAATGGCTGAGCCATTCTAAATACCTTGTTGTGATTGAAAATATGCTTAAGACTCAGTTTTTAAAAGATGAATTTGGCATACTTTGACTTAGAGAAATTGAAGAAGAAATGAGATGAAATCATGTGATGTTTTATGTGCGTGTTTAGGTTCCATTCTTTGTCGTGTCTTATGTTGAGATGTGGTTGATTATATTGCTGTAGTTAAGTTTTTTGGAGCATTAAATCTCAGTTTCTAGTTCAGTTTAGCATGAATGCTTGAACCTACGAAAAGAGAGTGAAAATGGGACTATATGGTGCTAATTGGCCACATTTTTCTTATGAACCTAGTTGTGATGTATTGAATGATTTCATATGAGATTAAAAATTTGACTGGAGTGATTGTTAAAGTGATTATTTTCAGTTTTAAGGCCATAATAAGTAGGGATCGTCAAAAAAATTTCTGAATTCTCTCGCTAGGGGAGCACCTTCTCTCGTCGGAGAGCATCTTCTTTCATCGGAAAGCCCTTTCCTCTCGCCGGAGAGGCCTTCTAACCTTCTCCGAATCTCTTCTCCTTGCTACTCTTTCATATCGCAGTCATGGATGGACAGAGTTCGTAATCGGTCACAGATGAAGTGGAGCAGCGCCTTAGGGTTTTTTCGCTCTCGCAAAAGGAAAACAAAATCATCGATCTCCAGGTAGATGATGTTAAAACGGGTGTCGAAGAATGCCACCACAGCCTATTCGGTCGAATAGTCGGTGATAAACGAGCAAGTCTGGCCGGAATCAAGAAGGCGATGAACCAAATTTAGCGACTTAAAAATTCCATCGAGGTTAGAGAGCTCGGTCCCAATTTTTTTCAATTCATCTTCTCAAACCTCGAGGACCTTCAAAAGGTTGAGGGAGGAACAAACTGGATCTTCGAAAACCAATTTCTCATCTTGCGCCGATGGGAATCTGGAATGAATAGAGATGCCAAATGTTTTTCAGACCTTAAACTATGGGTTCAAGTCCACAACGTTCCTCTTAACTGGCTTACTGCAGAAGTCGGACTCAGAATTGGGGAAGTTTTTAATGAGGTTTCCAATGTGATCGTGAGTAACTTACCATTTCAAGGGGGGCGCCTAATCAAACTATTGGTAACAGTTGATATCAAGGAACCACTGCCCAGATGTACATCGATCAGGTTTGGCTCCCAAGTGGTTACTGTGTCATTTAAGTATGAGCGCTTAGTTAACTTGTGCTTCTACTGTGGGATGATTAGGGATGAAAACGATCGGGAACGATCGGCATAGGGCTCAACCATTTCCACTTTCATATTTTTTTCTCGAAAACGAAAATGATACGATAATGTCGGAAACGAAAACGACATCGGTATTCCGGTAATATCGAAAACGAAACTATCCGATCGAAAATACATCGATAACGATCGAAATATATTAAAACGGTATTTAAAAAACGATAAACACACCACATTAAATATAGCATTAAAACATAAATTGAAATATTCTCACGGCATAATAGTGGCAAAATCCAAATTAAAATCCACACCATTTGCTATAACAAAATCCATACAAATTCCAATAACTAGCAATTGAATTGTGACTTGTCCATCAAATTCTCATGGAATAATAGTAGCAATTGAAATTTGAAACATGAAATGGGAGCAATTAGGTGAGAAATCAACCATGGAACCACCAAATCCACAAAAAAACCACAACAAACGAAATCCAGAATTCAAAACACAAATCACCGAAAGAGGTGAAGGGGATTTCAGGATTTGGGCACAGGGTTGGGCTGAAGGGGATTTGGGCATTTGGCCCATTTGGGATTTGGATTGGGCTTTATAATTAAAATTGAGCCTAGTATGAGTTGGGCCGGTATTACCGACGGTAAAATACCGTTTAAATACGGTAATTTTCGAAAACGATCGGAAAAGGGCTAAACCGTTTTCGTTTTCATTTTCGAATTTTTTTACCGTTTTCATTTCCGTTTTTCCGATTACCGTTACCGTTTCCGTTTAGCCTCCAAATTCGAAAAAATTTCGAAAACGATTCTCGGTAATCGGAAATTACCGTTTCCGTTTTCATCCCTAGGGATGATTGGCCATATTGAGAAAGCTTGCACTCTCAGAATGGAGGATATAAAACATAAAAGGCTCAAAGAGGGTCAATTTGGAGATTGGATGAGAGCTTCTGATGGGCTGCAGAGCCAGAACTGGAACCATGCTATTTCTTCTTCAGGTCAATCTCAGGATCCTGCTCCCCCCCTAGTAACACCAACACCAATTTCCACTCAACATGGGACAAAGTGCCTATACCCAATCATGATGCAGCAAAAAGTTCTTCTCATAGCCAGATTGGGCAAACCGGGCATAGAAGTACAGATTCAGAACACAATGGGACCACCAATGCAGACAAAGAGGTGCTGCCCTCTAACAAAGAGTTGATCCTCTATAGTCCCCCCTCTGACCAAGCAGAAAAGACCTTAGCTCATACTAAACCAATCCAATTGGAGATCATGCCCATTGATGAAGATGATCAACCTGGCACAAAGCTAACAGAACTAAAAAGGAAAGGCAGGAAGGGTGTCAGCAAGGGTACCACAACTTGGAAAAGAACACCACAAAGGGAGGGCAGGCTTCAGAGGAATTCCAAAGAAAACTCAATGGATCTCTCAATGGTTATGACCAAAAGACCCAGAGAGCTGGCTATACTCACAGGGGAAACATCTTATAATGACATGGTGGAGCAGCAGGATAAGAAAGTGAAACTGACTGTATCAAAGGTGGAGAGGGCTTGCCTTAAGAAGCCCTCGGAGTCCTCATGAATGCTCTGGTGTGGAACTGTAGAGGTCTGGGTGGGCCCTCTACAGTTCCCCAGATTAAGGAATCCCTAAGGATCCACCACCCCTCCTTCTTTTTTCTTTCTGAAACAAAAAAAAAAATAAAACATTTTCATCTTCTGTTTGTTCTAAATTGGGTTTTGCAGATAGGAACTTTATAGTGGAGCCTAGAGGCACAGGAGGAGGACTTATCTTACAGTATTTTCGAAAACCCAGCTCGCACGTTCTTACAGTCAAAGCTTCTTCATTGTTGTACATTTTAAGGAGAAATTAGGAGGTTTACCTTGCTGGGCCATTTTTGTATACATCAGCCCAATTAAGTCTGAAAGAATCCTTCAATGGGAGCAACTTTTGCATGAAAAAGACACATGGGGACCTGTATGGTGCATTGCAGGGGATTGGAACTCTTTGTGCAGACCAGAGGACAAGAAAGGGGGTCAACCTGTCTCTGATAGAAGTTGCTGGGAATTCAACCATTTCCTATCTCAAATGGGTGTGCAGGAGATCCCCTTACAGGGGCTGACTTATACCTGGGCTAATAACAGATCAGGCCAAGGGTATGTGGAAGAAACTTTGGATCGACTGTTTGTCTCGTTGGAATGGATAGCCAAATTCCCATATTCCAAGGTCATTAGCTGGCACAGAAGTTCATCTGATCATACAATGTTGGTTATCTCTACTTCAGCTGCAGCCACCAAGTACAAAAAGAGATTTCAATTTGATAAAAGATGGGACCACACAGAAGGAGTTGACACTGTGGTTAAAGAAGCATGAGATACACCTACTCTTGGCACACCTATGTTCATCATCAAAGAAAAAATCAAAAGAACCAGACAAGCTTTGCTATCCTGGAGCAAATACTTTAGAGCAGAACAGGCCTCAAAAATAAATAAACTCACATTGCAATTGGAAGAACTGAGGAAAGAGGGAGGAGAAAGAAACTGGGAAACATGGGACAGACTGCAGAGGGAGTTGGATGCAGCTAATGTATCAGAGGAAATCTATTGGCAGCAAAAAGCGAGGGCTCTGTGGTTTAAAGAGGGAGACCAAAACTCCAAATTTTTTCATGCATATGTCTCTCAGAGGAGGAAAATGAACTCTATTGTAAGGCTGGTAACTGAAGGACAAATTTGTGACAACCCCCAAGAGATTCAGAGGCACATCACAGATTTCTATTCCAAGTTGTATACTTCAAAGGGTTCTCGAGGTGGCCATGAATTTCTGCCATTAATCCAAAAAACAGTCACAGATGATATGAATGCAATCCTGACAGCTCCTGTTGAAGAAGATGACATTAAAAGAGCCGTTTTCAGTATACACCCTGATAAGGCACCAGGTGAAGATGGCATGACAGGCCTTTTCTATCAGCACTTCTGGCCAATTGTTGGTAAGGACATTATTTTTGCTGTTCAAGCTTCTTTGCATCCTGCCAACTATTAAAATACTGGAAACACACTTTAATAATATTGATTCCCAAGTGCTTTAATCCAACTTCTATTACCCAGTTCAGACCTATAAGCCTGTGTGCTGTTTTTTATAAAGTCATTTCTAAAATTCTGACCCAGAGATTGAGAATCTGTCTCAATGAATGCATCTCAGAAAACCAAGCAGCCTTCCTTCCAGGGAGGCAGTTGCTTGACAATGTTGTTATTGGGCATGAAGTCTTTCACTTTTAAAACAGGCACAGGTCAGGTAAAAATTTCTTTATGGCTCTTAAATTGGACATGATGAAAGCATTTGACAGCCTGGAGTGGAAATCAGTTCAATTAACAATGTTGAGAATGGGTTTCAGTAATAAATTTGTTAAATGGGTAATGGCCTGTATTCAATTCCCCTCATTTTCTTTTAACTTGAATGGCTCTCCATGTGGTTTTGTTACAGCTACTAGAGGCTTGAGGCAGGGGGATCCCCTATCCCCCTACCTTTTTATCATTATTTCAGAGCTGCTGTCTGCTAAGATCAAGGATGCTTCTGAGAAAGGTTGTTATAAAGGGATCAGACTCTCAAGAAATGGTCCCACTCTCACTCATCTATTATTTGCAGATGATACTCTACTTTTTTGTAGAGCAGACACTCAACAGGCCACAAAAATTCTTCAAATTCTCCAAGCCTACCACAACTTCACAGGCCAGCAGGTGAATATGGCCAAATCATCAGTTTTCTTTAGCAAAAACACACCCCCTGACATACAGCATAGATGTTGCTCTATCCTCTCTGGCATTCAAGTTCATTCATCCACAAGATATCTGGGCTTACCTATGGGCATTGGAAGATCTAAAAGAGAGGCTTTTGATTATATCCTCACAGTAATCAAAAACAGAGTCAACAGCTGGAAAAACAAATGGCTCTCTACTGCAGGTAAGGAGATTCTTATCAAGGCTGTGTACTCAATGCCCTTCCTGTATTTGCTATGTCCTGCTTTGTCTTGCCTGTCTCTCTATGCAAGGAAATCTCTAGTATATGTGGCCACTTTTGGTGGAGCAAAGGCAATGCCTTACACAAAGGAATCCACTGGCTGGCCTGGAGCAAACTGACTTTGGCCAAAAAGCATGGAGGTCTTGGTTTCCAGGACATACAACTCTTCAACATAGCCCTTATTGCCAAACAAATTTGGAGGCTGGTCTCAGAGCCTGACACATTGGTGAGCAGGGTACTCAAATCTAAATATTACCCCAATTCCTCTATTTTTGAAGCTCACATTACCCACAGTTCATCCTGGCTTTGGAGAAGTTGGCACTCGATTTTGCAGATTTGTGCCAAATGGATGCAGGTAGAGATCAGAAGTGGCACTAGCATCAAAATTTGGGATCAGCATTGGCTACCTACACTCACAGGCCAACAAGTTGAACTATTGCAGGGCATTGACAGAAACATTATATGGGTAAAAGATCTAATGAGCACAGATGGGTTGAGATGGGATGACAGAAAGCTAAGGAACACATTTCCTCCTCATATTTGTGATCTGATCCATACTATCAAGACACTCAATCCCACCCAACCTGATAGATGGACATGGAAGCTTCACAGTAAAGGGATATTCTCAGTGAAATCCACATATGCTCATCTTATAACTGAAAAATACCTCAAGACAGCACCAGCTCAAGGGAGTGTGGACTTGGCCAGGGACATTCAAGTCAGGAACAGAACATGGAAAATGCAGGTAATGGGCAAACTAAAACACTTTATCTGGAAATGCTGTAATGGCACATTGCTTGTTAATAAGAATTTGCTGGCTAGAGGAGTTGTAGTGGACAGTATATGCAATATGTGTGGTGATGAAGTAGAATCAATAGAACACCTATTATTCCATTGCCCACTGGCCAAGCTGGTATGGAAGCTCTCCCCTGTGCAGTGGGAAGGACCTCAAGAACATGCAAGCTTCCATGACTGGTGGTGGTCCATTTGCCAGTTGGACAAGTCAGAGACATCAGAGGCACGGATTCAGCTTTCTACCTACATACTCTGGTGGCTCTGGAAGACGCGCAATTTGTGAATGTTTGGAAGGACTCGAAGGCCTGCTCATCTCATTGTCCAAGCAGCTTTGAAGGATTGGCATATCTACAGGACAAGCAGATTATCCAGGCCTTGAGATGCTAGATATACCTTCTGTTGTAATTTTATGTTTCAGTTTTCCTTTTCGATTTTTGTTCTTAGTTTTCAGGTTATGGTGTTAAGGTTCCAGAAGCTCATCTGCCTTAGCCCATAATTGCATTCGTTGTTGTTTAGTTGGGTTCTAGGCCACCAGTCTTGTGTGGTTCTCTCATTTCCCGGCTTGTTCTGTTTGTATTCATGTAGTGTTTTGTGTTTTATGTAGCTAAACATTGTACATCCTTTTTGATTTGAATGAGATTTCCTATCGTTTGAAAAAAAAAAAAAAAAAAATCTATGGTCAGGTACCCCTCGTACCTACCTAATATCAAGTAGCCCCTTATATCACCATTAGATTGATTCAAAAATTAATATGAACCATTAGATGGAAGGTACGAGGTTGGTACGAGGCAAAAAAGAATTTTGATCGCCTCGTACCAACCTCGTACCACCTTGTACTTACAAAAAACCTATAATACCCTTATGTCATTAAAAATTAAAATAAATTATAAAATAATCATTGTATTTATTTTAAAAACCTTACATCTATATTATTTTTATAATAATCCTTCAAATCCAAAAATATATCATCACAACCTTAACATTTAACATTTAATTGAATTGAATCTCCTAAAAATCAATATCTAACATCTCCTTCTTCTAACCCCTGCCGGGCCCAATCCCAAACCCCTCCTACACCCGCCACCCCGCCGCCGGCCGAAGGCGGAAGGGTCTTCCAGCCTCGAATCCAGCCCGACAGCCCTACCGGTTATAGTCCTCCTTCATCGTGCTCAACAACGACGCCCACGAGCTGAAATCCTAGCGGGTTTTTATCGGGTTTCAGCATGACGAATATCTGGTGTCGGCCACGAATGACGTGCTTGCAGATGGGAGCGCGATGTCGGGGCCCGTGGGAAACGAGTCGGTTTTCGCGGGTATCGAGATGGCGGGGGTTTTGACCCAGATGGGAGTTCGGGTTGAGCTGGTGGGTACGCAGTTCGGGGTGGGCCCGCTGGATGTGCCTATGCCGGCGAATATCTCTCTGGTCAATGATGGGTGGATTTGTCCCAGACCTAGGATGCAAGGTGAGCTTGTGCCACTGTGTGTTCACCTCTTTTCTTCTTCTTCTTATGTTCTTGCCTTTTCATTTTTTGAAGTTTTATTCACTGTCTGTTTGGAGCTGGAGTTGGGAGAATTTGGTCAACTATAGTCTGATTCTTTATGATTTGGCTTTTGTTGTTTATGTTCTCTTGCGGTCAGATTATTGAGGATTCCTGAATTTAGAGAGATCGATGGACTGGATTAGTTTAGATTGATAAGAGGTCTTACATTTCTGGGTTTTGAATGATTCTATGAACAATTGGGTGTAACTAAACCTTTGTGCAAGTTGCTGTTTGACCTTTAACTCTAGTTTATTTTAGACTGCTTTTTGAACTGCTAAAATTGAGATCAATTGCTTCTGGAGTTTTTGAGAGTTTTATCTTCAAGCAGGGACTGCCCGGGCCCTGGCTGAACTATATGGTGGGCGAGGTCGATGGGGAGGGCCGGTCGAGGGGGCTGAGGGTCCCGGGCAAGCAGCAGTCGGTGATCTCGTTCACGAAGAGGCGTACACCGGGGATTAACGTGTCGGGAGGAGACGGGTTCCCGACTAAGGTTTATTTCAACGGCGAGGAGCACCTGTTGCCGGATATAATTCCGACGAGTGGCGTGGGGCGGCTGGTGTGGTCGTCGGTCTTGGTGCAGTTGGTTGTGGGTGTATTGGTTTGTGTTGTCATGCGGCAATAGTGAACCGGAGTGAATACAGCAGGTCTCGGGCGTATTTATTTGTTCATTCTTTTTTGCCTTGGTTTATATCGGGTCAAATGATTTGGTGAGAAGTGCTTTTCTTGGAATGGGGTGATTCAATTGTTTTTGTTCGAAATTCAGGTTGTTGAAGATGGAGGTAATATTCCATCCAACATCATCAAGAGTTTAATGTATCAACTTTGCAAAGGTGTTACTTTCTGTCATGGTCATGGTGTTCTACTACACAGGTAAATCAATGTTTTTCATTTGTAAAATCATGATGTGTTTGAGTTAACTTCAAGTAATTGTTTAGGAATCTCTATCCTCACCATCTTTTGATGGATCGTATGACAATGATGCTTAAGATAGCAAATCTTGGTTTGGCCAGAGCTTTTACGGTCCCTATTAAGAAGTACACTCATGAGGTACTTCGTTGAATACTTCTATTTTTTCCCTCACTGAAAGCCATTTCAATTATTATTATTAGCATTTATTGAATGGTTTTATTATTTGCAGATATTGACCCTCTGGTAAGGGCTCCTGAGGTGCTTTTAGGAGCTACACACTACTCACCAGCAGTGGATATGTGGTCAGTCGCCTGCATATTTGGTATGAACAGTTTGCACTATATTTGCTGATTCTGAATGCGTTTAGTGTTGTTCGTATAAAATTACTTCTTTGTATCATGATTGCAAATTTATTGTGAATTTGAAGGGGAATTTAGTGACAATTAAGGGTACATATATTTGTCGTTTTGGACTATACATTATTGATATGTATATTTTTTGTAGTCAAGAATGTGTTGTTATGTCCATGTGTTTTGTACTACAAGAAATTTCAATTACAAGGTTGTAAACAATCATTGTTTTGAATTTTTACTTTGTCAGCTGATCTGTTGACAAACCAAGTTCTCTTTTTTTGTGGAGTGTTGCCTTTCCTGGAGAGGAACTCCATGGATTAATATCACAGCAGTGGAAAGAAATGAGTTGGCAGGGAAAAGATCCATCTACAGATTTGGTAAATGTGAAAGGTAATTGCTTTCTGCTGGGATGTTGTTTGGGGAGCTTATTGGCTTTTGGAGTTATAAATGCCTTAACAATAAACTATTGTCTTGTCTTGAATTTTGTTTACAGTAAGACCGGGCTACTTTTCTTGTATCAGTTATAGTTATATATGATCTCGGGAAAATATATCATACGCATAGCTTTTCTATATCGAGAATGATATTAGCCTATTTGTTCTTGTTCATTAAGGATTTTGGAAAATTACAGTGACGTACTTTGTTTTTTCTCATAATTGCTGACAGAGTATATTGATTCCACAAGACTCTTGCATTGAGCTATGGTTTAGTTTGATGTTTCAATTTTTCTGGAACATTTTGTTCCATTTATCATCTTTTGATGTTTTCTTTTTGAGCCTACATAAATATTAAATGATAAGTTTACTTATTTATAATTCAATCTTCTTAGCTTCATATTTGTAAAAGAAGATTATCGATATTGAACATTTGAACTTACAAAGCCAGACATAACCTTCTGTACAGCTTAACCTTGAAGTTGGTTTGCAATAGATAATAACATGTGTGTACACTTGCCAATGTGCTTCATACATAGAATTTCTATAGTTGTCAGCCCGATTTGTGATTTTTGTGCTATTTGTTGCGTGTCTTTATTTAATATGTGGGGGATTTTCTTTGAGACTTTTTAATTACCTTCTTAAGCTTGTTTACAAATAGATAATTTTCATTTGTTTATTGCTGCCCCCTTGTAATAGTGTGTTACTCTAGAGATTCAATTGAATGGTCATCTTATTCTTTGTCAGGTTATGAGATTCACTGTTGAACTTTTAATCAGTGATCTATTGGAAGTAGGATATCTAAACCACTTGAATTGGTTGGCTTTTCTTTCCCAAGTCCTGTTAGTTTATGAGATTCACTGTTAAACTTGTATATTAGTGACTCATTGTAAGTAGTTTGTTGAGTTCTCTCTCCCAGCCCTCTCTCTTCCTACCGACTTATGCGATTTGATCGTGCGAATTGGGAACAATATTACCTACCTTGTGTGATGCTGCTGCCCCTTTTACTTTTGGAGATGCTTTGGATGTGATAGTTATTCTGCAACTAATTTCTATAGTGTTATCCGCAGCTGGAGAAATCATTAAGATATCAAGATATGCTTATTCAGATAGAGAAGTCAGTGAGCCTCGAAACTACTAAGAATATTTTTTGTTTAATCCCTATTCTTGGTTGGAAATCCATTTTGTACAGGAAACGGCTTTTTCAGAAGATTAATGATCTCCCCACCGTGTTCGAAGTTGTTACAGGGGCGGTTAAGCAGACAAAGGACCAAATAATGGCAGCATGAACAAATCCAGTAACAAAATGGTAATTTCTGGTGTGCATAAGTTCCCTATTGCTCTTGGGCTAGAATTATGCATCTTAATTAATCCCTCTCTCTCTCTCTCTCTCTCTCTCAGCCTCCTCGACAGCCTGAGTCCCAACCCAAAGCAATTAAGATGGCGACACCAAAGGATGAAGACGAGGCGGGGGGTGAGGAAGAAGAAGAACAAGAGGAGGACGATGAACATATCAAGCAATACAAATTCCCTACCTGCAGTAGCTAGAGGGCTAGGGTTTAATATGGCCATATTGATGGTGTAGAAATGGTTAGTCTTAACTTTATCGAAAGTTGGCTATACAATCAGTTTATACATTAGAAGACCGGGCGATCCCTTGAACTTTTGTAATTATTTTGCCTAGATGTTGCTCATGAATTGTTGTACTCTTTAAGGAAGTTTTCGGACAGCAGCGCTCTCTTATTTAGAGATGGGATTATACTATGTCATTGTCCATTCTTCTAATTCTTCTTTTTGTTGTGCTTTCTGGTTGAGTTTTCTGTCCATTAATCGTTTTGAAAGGAAAAAGAACATAGAATTAGCTATGTCTGCCTATTCTATGCTCTGCAATGCCCACAGCCAACATGGTTTTCTTGAGAATTCAGTGAGCTATTCTAAAACTTCCATTATCACTCTTTTCTGTGCGTGAATGACGAGTGGCGATAAGAAGCCTTCCATGTGGTTTATTCTACCCTACTGCCCACATTAGGTTTTTTAACCATCAGATCACATAGACATACGCACTTGTGGTGTGTGTAGCTTCGATGATGAAAAACCCAATGTGACACTACCACACCGGTAGGATGGGATTTAACCATCAAACTTAGATGTTTTAGTTCAATACAAAAGCCTCTTCCAGCTATCTTGCACATTTATTCTTTTGCTGATTTTTTCATTTGATACTCTTAAATAATCATTACCATTATAAATGTTGATAAGCAGAAATCATTTTAACTTAAGAAATACAAATTCCCAGTCCAAAAGAAATCAACTGCTTCATATATTTGCCTTTGCAGAGGTAGCGATGGTCATGGTTTTGTCCAGCTTTAAGTAAAATATTCACAAGTCATCATGAAAATGCTACCCAAGGAAAGTGATGCAACAATTGAATACGACCTAGCCTATATACACCTTTCTTTCAAAATGATTGCCAATATGCCCATGCTTTAACATATTATAGCACAACTTAAATAACACGCAAAATTGCATTTCATTTATGTAAATATCTGGCTTCTAACTGACTCTACTTTGTGGTTTACGCCATCATGGCATTCATCTTTAAGAGCCCAGGTCAGCATTTCTGTACAAAATTGATCGTCCGCTTTGATTTATAAATCCTGTCAATATCCAAATGTGCACAAGAATGATCAGAGCACAAACTTTTCAACTCCAAGCACCACATATTTAACTGTCATCTGTAACCAAAAGATTGGAATCTGAAAAGTGAGAAAAAGGGTACCTTGTGATAGTGTGTAATTGCAGATGTATAATTACCCTGAAAAAAAAGGAAGACGCGTGAGAATNAAAAAAGAGGCGAGATAATTTTTTTCACCATTAATTTTAGGAGATGGTATCGAGCAGAAAAACTTGAAAAGTTTTAACCTGCAGATGATGTGTATGCAAGATCCACATATGTGCTCAAGCTTCAAGTTGATAAAGCCAATGCTTTCTCATAGTATATGATTGCCTCATTGTACCTCGTAGTGTTTAGTGCATTTATTGATCGTCAATCACAATATAATACAGAACAAATTTCTAAATAACAAGGCAATTAATATGGCATTATTAGAAAAACTATAGTACATAGGACATGAATGACGAATCAAGAACAGTAGATAGCATGTACCGACATATATGGCACATACAAATCGGTGAAAGCATAGAAAGATCATACATCTTTAGTTTTCTCAATGCGTGAGCAAGATTGACTACAGTTGGTTTTCACATCTCAGTTAAAGAGGAGGGTACGTGAGCTAATGTCTTCTCGAACCACCAAACAACCTTCTTATACCTGAAATTTTTTGGGAAAGAAAATCACATGCTACATTATAACAATTTATAATTTTGTATGCAAAGTTTAATTCTATCTGGGATATTTTGAGCAGATATCTTATGAAAGAGAGTCCAATACATGAACAATGATTTTGTTAACAGATTCTCAACAAAGGAAATGCATAAAGATATGACTTATGCATTCCATAATAAAGTACACTCGGTTAGGAGAGTTCAAAACTCATAGTAGAAGACTGAGAAGTTAAGAGCCAATCCTAGCCGGATTGGATGTATTGAAGCCAACTCAGCATTAGCAATGTCCTACAGTCACCCAAAGTAAACCCGGTTCAACCAAAGTTGCACATTCGATACATGATACTCACAATATGCATAAATGCTCCAAATTAACACATCTGGTAATATGTGTTATATGCTGAATAAACGTGAAGTCCAAGATAAAAGCTTACCGCAGAAGCTCTAATGAAATTGAATCAGAATTCTATTAAATCAATAGTTCGTAATCAATCATCAATTGAACACTAGACAACTGAAATTTCTCAGATCCAGCAATTGATTTCATCCACACTCACATGGCACATATAAAATCCCAAAACGCATAAACGACCGAGGCTCCTCACTCAATTCACTACACAATATAGCAAAAAAAATGAAAGTGAGTCGGGGTGAACAAACTAAGGACCTTACCTTGTAGGCGAGAGTTGATGTGAGAACGAGAGCAAAGGGTTTGTCTGGGGCCAATTGAGCTGAGGTTTTTGCTCTCTTCTTCTTTTCCCTTCTCCGTCGTTGGCACTTCTTTATGAAAACCTAGTCTAATAAACGGTTTTTCTATGGAGCATGCGGATTGTTTTCCTTTAGGAGACATCCGCTTAGGTGGCCCTTATGTGGCATAAACTTGCTATTAAAATACAACACATGTGGCATCTATTATTATTTTACAGAAATAAAGCAAAAAAAAAAAAAGAGAGAGAAANAAACGCACCATAATCTCTGAAGCAGGTATTCAAATTATTTGATCCACTAATTTTCATACAAGGATTTGATTCACTAATTTTCATACAAGGATTATTTGTCCCAAAATTTATAATGTTTATGACTTCATCTCAGTTTGCTAAGTTTATGTTTTTTCTTCATGTAAAATTATTAACAAAATATTATTACAATGAAATTAAAACGAAGAATATTAAATATCAGATTTTTGTCATGATTTTTGGATTTGTTTTTATTATTTATGACATTCAGTATATTTGTTTTCGTAGGATGGAGAGTGAGCAAGACGAATCATTCATACCACAAGTTGATTTGTCGGTCAAGCCTTTGATAGGACAAGAATTTCAATCGGAGGAAAAGGCTCTTTGTTTCTATAATGAGTATGCTAAAAGTGCAGGATTTAACACTAAAATTAAAAACAGCCGAAAAGATCCAAAAGCTTGCACAGTTGTGGGAAAAATGTTTGCTTGCTCTAAAGAAGGGAAGACAAATGTGTCATACCGAAATAAACGAGGTGCGGTGACAGAAACTAAGGAACGGAAACGTGGAGAGACTCGTTGTAACTGCCCAGCTCGAATGAGTGTTCGGAAGAAAAATGAAACTTGGGTGGTGAAGCATTTTGTAGAAAACCACAATCATCCGCTCGCTACTCCTAGGAAGGTTCACTTGTTGAGATCACATAGAGGTGTGTCAGCCACAAAAAGAGCGCTTGTTCAGGAGTACACGGAGGCAAATATCCCCACATACAAACAAGTTAGATTGTTTGAAATTGATTCTGGTGGTCCTTCTATGATGGGCTGTTTGGAGAAAGATATCCGAAATAAAGAAGCAGCACGTAAAGCTGAACTAAATGGACATGATGCACAAACCTTGATTCACCAATTTGAAATGGAAAAGGAGAAGAATGAGAACTTCTATTTTATTTATGAGACAAATGAGGATGGTGTTTTCACCAGGTGTTTCTGGGCTGATAGTGAATCAAGAAATTCATATGCAGTGTTTGGAAATGCAGTTGTCTTTGATACCACATATAATACGAATAAATATGGATTGGTTTTTGCACCATTTGTTGGTGTTAACCATCATAGGCAGACCACTGTATTTGGTTGTGCATTACTCAGCGACGAAAAAGCAGAATCATTTGTTTGGTTATTCTCTAATTTTATAAAAGCAATGGCAGATCAACCACATCCACAAGTTATTATCACCGATCAGGATGCGGCTATATCAGTTGCTGTGGCTGAGGTGTTTCCGAACACTATGCACCGATATTGTATTTGGCATATTCTGAACTAGTTTTAGAAAAGCTCGGCCCTGTTCTTCATAAGTTATACTATCATACCTTAAGTGGTATTATTAATGATTCAGAAACTCCCAATGAATTTGAGGGGAGGTGGAATCTGTTGATGAGTGATTCTCAATTGAATGGTAATGGATGGTTGTTAAAAATGTATGAAATCCGTCATCGTTGGGTTCCAGCTTATGTAAGGGGTGTTTTCGCTGCAGGTATGTCCAGTAGCCAACGAGTTGAGAGTAATCACGCATTCTTCAAAAGGTACCTGGACAAAAAATGTTCATTGAATGACTTTTTCACTCGTTTTAGTAGGGCTATTGCGCATCAGAGACATTAAAAATTGATGGATAGTCATGTTGATCTAAATGAAAAGCCGCGGATCAACACCTCATTCGCTATGAAAAAGCAGATGGCAGAGACTTATACGAAATCTATATTTTTGTTATTCCAGAAAGAGTTCGAAGAAAGTGCGAGCTATATATGCAAAATGGTCTCAAGTTCAAACGATTCTCGAGTTTATGAAGTTTGGAGGTTTGATATTGAAATAAATACTAAACATCAGCGATACTTGACATATGATGTCCCTGAAGAATTTATAGCGTGTAGTAGTAAAAAATTTGAGTTTGAAGGGTATCCTTGTCGACACATGCTATGTTGGATGAGGGTTGAACAAGTTATGTTAGTACCTGAGAAGTACGTGAAGAAAAGGTGGACGAAAAATGCAAAGAGTCACCTTATTTATGATACACCATTTGATTATGAAGTAGGTGAATCTTTGCAAGGCAGGCGTGGAGCGCTGATGAAAATAACGAGAGAGCTCATCGATGATGCATCGTTGAGTGAGGCGAGAACCAAGTTTCTACTGGAAAAGCTCAAAGTTTGGAAATGGGAGGTTGGTGAGATTGATGACAAGGAATGCATAAGCAAGCGGTTGAGTAAAATCAAACAAAAAGAGACGTTTTTTGTATGCGACCCCGAGCCTATACGAACCAAAGGTTGTGGCAAGCGTCTAAAGTCGAGTAAAGAGAAAGCCATATCTCTAAGTGCTCGATCTTGTAGTTTGTGTGGGCAGAGGGGCCACGACAAGCGCAAATGTCCAAGTCATAGCATTCACCTTGAAGATGATTCATATCGTCCAGACATGTCAAAAGTGACAAATTCCAGTTGCTCTGATGTTTGAGATTTTTATTTTAGTAGTTAGTCATTTTTTAGATGAATGGTTTTGTTTTTCGTGAGACATTAATTTATTTTTGTTACTTTTTAGTATTTTGAGTGTTGCTATTTTATCTGGAGTAACTGAAACAAATATGGATGACAAAAGTACCTTATATTCATCTGTTTTGCTGTGAGTCAGACCAAATATTTTGTAGAGGACGCACAAGTTTTTTTTTTCCTTCTATTTTGTCTCTCTCGTCTTTATATTTTGTGTTTTGAAGTTTCTTGTGTTTTTTAGATTTGTTTTTCAGTCATCATTACATCATATTATCAGTTGCACATGCTTAACATAGTTTTGATCTATTCAATCTCATTATTGTTAACTTTTATGTTTGTTCTCAAATTTTGTTGCCTTAACCCCATTGGCATTTTTCGATTATGTTTTTTATAGTGCGAAAAACTAGTCTCATTGTGTGGTGATTGCTGTTGAGTTGGAGCTTGTGTTATGAATTTTTTGGTTTTTGTGTGCCTTTTAGATTAGATATGCTAGTTATAAGGCCAAAGTTGAAATAAGTTAAACATTAGTAGAATACGCTGTTATGAGGCTAACAATGCTTGTATTCTCTTTCAATTTTGGAATGAATATTTTAACATTTTGATGCTTATAGTTCATCAGTACCTGCCAGTGTAATTATCTCATTTTGTGATATTTATTACAACTGTCTTTTTTATGCAGAGAGAGGTGAGCACTTAGACTAGGAGACTCGTTTAAATATTATCATGGGCCTCACCTGAAAATTCGTTCGTTTTGTTTGTGTTTCTTTCCTTTCCTGTCAAGGGCTGTAACATTTACGTAATTTCTCTAGTTTCTCTTAAGGACTGGACACAGTTTGTACAGATATGCTGCACTTCAGTTCTCTTGATATGAATATAAGTTGTACCTGTATGAATGTAGTCATTATTACTTCGAGCCAAATTCTGATTACTGGTATTTGAGTTATCACAATTGACCTATCTTTCCCAACGGACTACCCAAAGCCAATGAGTTAAGTTTGTTTGAAATTTATTGCTAAACAGTACATAAACTATTCTAAGCACCAACAGGGTTGATGCTCTGTGCTTTTGAAGTTCTTAACATTAGCAACGTGATGCTTTATTTTTGTGTAGAATGGCTTAACATGTTTGTATACCATTTCCTGCAACATAAATCAAAGAAAAAAATAACCAAGCAACCTTTATATCCTCACAACAAAATGAAAATAATATCCAAGCAACTTCAGATTCTTAGTATCACTTCAAATTGTATCCATGTCTCACAAATGTAGAATAGCAATAAGCCCGACAAAGTTCTTCAAGGTATGTTACAAAGTAAATATTTCTCTTGAAGAACAATCTATTTTTCAATTGACAATACAAGTAGTATTTGCATAGTATAAAAACCACTATATGTTTCTCCACTATGGAAATCCACAAGCAACAGAGTCGTTCCAATTTGAACATGTCTTTCACCTCGTTCGGGCTCAACAAGACATTATTCGCGAGGCAAACTCAACCCAAACGCCCCTTGACGTAATGGAGAGACCATCATGCTAAACAAAATCCTACACTTTCCCACCTAGCTTAGACAAAAAAAAGTCTGGAATCCCACGAAGTCACAACTGAAGAGAAAAGTCCTGCGAGAGCTCAAATATTCCCGAGAGGTAGACTGGCATTCCGGGCACATGTTCACCTCTTCTCTTGAAAATCCACCATAACAGAAACAGTAGAACCAAATGTAGTCACTGCTTCGTACTTGACGTGGACGGCACTCGTCGGCTTTCACCTTTGGTGCCGGAACAGGAAAACAACGCCAGAGACGACCAGCAGCACGCCACCGGTCAGCCCGTACCCCGCTCGCCAAGATCAGGCCCAGCCGCACGCGGTCTCTCCCGTAGTCGCACACCTCCCCGCCAGAGTCGGATCCCCCACGCGAGCTCCACCACGTGTTGATGATGTTCTTCGCCTCCGAAAGCTCCCTTCTCGTCGCCAATCTGTTCGATGTCGCCGCCGGTCAGCCTGCATAACCCGTTCACCAAGATGAGGCCCAGCTGCACGCGTTCTCTCCCAGAGCCGCGCACCTCGCCCGCCGGCGCCGGATCCTCCGCGTGAGCTCCACCACGCGTCACTGGTGTTCTACAATTCCGAAAGCTCCCCACGCGTCAGCACTGAAGTCGACCGTCGATGGGGAATACTGTGGCAATTGGTTTGTGCCCTGCAACTGCAAGCCTATGGGGAATTAAGGGATGGGTGCAAAGCCGACGGGGAATTTAGGGATCAGATGAATTTAGGGATCAGAGGAATTGGAGTGTTTTGGGGACGGAGAAGAAAATGGTTTTTTTTTCTATTTCTCTTTTTTTTTTTGCTTTATTTCTGTAAAATAATAATAGATGCCACATGTGTTGTATTTTAATAGCAAGTTTATGCCACATAAGGGCCACCTAAGCGGATGGCTCCTTAAGGAAAACAATCCGCATGCTCCATAGAAAAACCGGTCTAATAAATGCCTAAAATATTTTGTCCGAAATTCAAAATGAACTCTCGCAATAATTTTCAGTCAGGCGCCTTAATGAAATTTTTAGCCGTACATATTATTAGGAGACAATTTTCAATAACTATATAATTATTGAGGAAATAAACACACATTAATAATAATAATAATATAGACTTATATTTAATCATTGACAATTATAAAATAAAATATATAAATATGTACATGAGTAATAAATTCAATCATAAAATATCATCAAAATNAAAGAAAAAAAAAAAAGTGTTATGAAAATTGCTATGTATAAGATTGCATACATAACACAAAAATGCTAAACTAATAAAATAACAAGATAAACAATCAAATCTATTTCAAATACTAGTTCATGATATTATTAAATTGGCATATTTGTCTTAAAGTTATACTAATTAGTAGGAAAATGTATTTGATTAATGAAAACATATCATAATACCTATTAGATACATTAATTGAGTACATGTTAGGAAAATGAAAACTAATGACGCTAAAAGTGATTTTTGTAAGCAATGTCATTTGCTATATAATTTATGAAAATAATTTATAAGCTTCTTTTATTTAAGTGGATTTTTGTAAGCAATATCATTTACTTAATTTATTTAAATAAGCTTCTTATATTCAAATAATTCTCTTCTAATAAGTTGAACTCTTAAAAAAGACTCAAGCTCATCTTTAATGCTTATTTTGGTGACAATTAAAAATACTCATTGTAATTTTTTATTAAGGTATTTTTATAAAATAAATAATTATATATTAACTAGTTGAAAAGTTGTTATAATCTTAAAACAAGCTTATCCACCAGTATCAATTAACTTTCTAGTTAAATCTACTATAATTTACCATAAATATTTGTTGTATCGTCGGATCGCTCAATTATATATACGTCTATTCGAAACAGAATGAACGATATGTAAATTTATATCAATTTAATAATAAAATAAAATTTGTTATATTCGTGTATTATATATTTTAGAACCACATGTGTTTCTCCTATTTGTTGACGGTCGGTTTTGTTAAGAAGATTATAAAGCGGTAATATGGTAGTAGTAAAGTTATTGCAAAATAATTTAGTCACATTGATATTAAATAGAAGATAATTATAAGTTTAGAACAATGGTATAAAGTTGCTACGCATGTTTAACAATTAAAAAATCATGGAATAATTAAAAGCTTACAAATGGAAGTTTATTTGAATTTATCAAATGACTTACTTGGAATGGTAAGTAAAAAAAAATGGATGTTGCCTCGACATAATCATTTATTAGCATGATGTATTGTCCAGATTGTATACTTACAGACACAATAATGAATTTATAGGTACAACTAATGTGGTGTATGTAGCGTAACCTATCTATAAGTTGAAGGGATAAAAAGTTGGTGAGAACTACCATTACGATTTTGTACAAAATGCCAAAAAAATAAAATAAAAAAAATAATGATAAGTAATATGGTCGCAAATATCGTCCGAGCGCATAGAATGGCAGCCTAAATAAAATCATAGTACATAAGTGCCGTCTAGCGCGTAAACAGATGCCTAGATCCATTTTAGATAGAAAAAACAATCAATGACACATATTTATTTTAATTTTATTTTCTAAATAGGGGCATGATTAAAAATATGAAAAATATTCCCACATGTTTTATTAGATACCTTATGTTAGTCTGAATTATTTTAGTTAAAATTTTAATTGCTTTATACGATTAAATTTTTAAAATTAAAGTACTTAATATTTTTTTATTTGTTAATGTAATATTTCTAGGTCAAAATGTTGAAGTTTTCATAATTTACTAATATTAGTGCTTTTAGTAATTATTTTGTCAAATATAAATATATAGTTAATAATAAATTTACTTATCAAATCTAGTTCATTTCTTGAGTAAGTCTTCAAATTTTGTTCATGTACAATTTTTAGAATCTACTTACCAAATTAGTGATTTTAATATTTTTTGGTTAACAATAAAAAATGATAAAAGTTGAATTTTTTAAATATTGTTATTAGATCATTTCAAATCTTCTTTATTTACTCATGGGTCAACATGTTGAAGTTTCCATAATCTACCAATATTATAGTGTTTTTAGTATATTTTTTTTGTCAAATAAAAATATCATAAACTAATTATAGTTTATAATATAATATAAAATAATTATAGAAGTAGAAGCGATTTCCTTCAAGAATCATTCTTCAATGAGTAGATTTCCCGCTCGGAAGTAGTCTTTCCAAGAATCAAGAATCATTCTTCAACCACATTTGAGAGCATTCTCAGATATCTACACATTGATATCAAGGGTCACAAGAAGACAATGTAAACCCCCATTACCTCATCTGCGTCGAACCCAAAACTTGAAAGAAGAAAAGACAAAAAAGAGACAACAACACACCACCTCAAAACAAACTAAAACAAACATATCCACATCATCCCCTACCGATGTAAAATAGCCATCCTAACGGCCATCGACCGATGTAAAGGACTCGGCAATACTCCTCTCTCTTGCTATCACCGAGGTCCAGCTAGCTCACGTTCTTGCCCTCAGCCTCTTGCCAGTCTTTCACCATTTGGTCGAGGGGCAGGCTGTAGTCGACGCCACAATATTGCTCAGTCTCGTCATCGAGTGGCCTCCACTTCTCAACTAGCACGTTGACTGCATGGCCCATGTCGACATGGCCTCTGTCTGGGTTCTTGGGCTGTGCGAGGTCGGCCACGATGGACACCTAATAGCCTTGTTTCACGAACAACATACAGTCAACTGGATCAAAAGCCACCCCTCGATTCCCAAAAGCATCTTTACTACATGTGATTCTTCCACACATTAAATGTCACATTATGGTTCTAATGAGTTGTAACTTGAATTTGAGATTCCATTTCACACACAGCACACTCCTCAACAGTCGGCAAAAGATGTTCCATCATATGCATGGGAATCAACTGATACCAACAGATAATATGATTCAAACAATAGTATCGTATAATATATGCCACCAGCTATAAATTAAAGGGATAAACCAAATCAGCAAATAGATAAAACTTACATCATCATCGTCCTCATCAGATATATCATCATCTTCAATCACCAAAGCCTCATCAATTTCCACAGGTGAAATATCCAATTCATCATCCTGCAATGTCCAGAAACACATTACACAATCAAAGAAAGTTCTCAAAAGAGGATCTCGTAATGAGCACCTACAGAGACAAAGCTATCTTAATATGAAGCAGATAGCATATGAAACTAGAGGACAAGGGCTGTTAACAGTTTCCTATTGGCTTACCCCTGTAGCGGTCCCCATCTCAGACTTACCAGCGGATACCGAGGGAATACAACTCTTCTAGGTTGTAACAACTCCCCTTTGATTCTAAATACTGTTTCTAGGACACAAGCACTCGCAATTCTTGCAAAGTAGTCCCTAGTTCAATGCCAAACGTAACAATATCATGCAAATCCAGCTCCCGCACAATTACCAACACATCATTTAACACCGAAAAAAAAATGTATAGAAAAATCTGGTTCACACAATTTTCTGAATGCAAATCCAATGCTCTAAACAAAAAAGTTACAATTGCAATACACTTACTTGACCGAAAGCAAGATTATAAAAGGCAACCGAAAGCGGCAAATCCAGGAACCTACCATCCTGGAGAGCCTTTGCCATAACTCTCCCAAATAACCGGTAATACTCTATCACCTTACAAAATTTGCTTCCATCTGAAGCATCAGCGTTGGGCAGCTAAGGACGAGGGAACAAACCGAGAGGCGCATTAATAATACCTGTATGTCGAACAGCCCATCTCGATCAACCTCCATGGAGAGCCCACCCGACGAAGAACCGGACCTCCACATCCCCAATCCATCTTTCTGGAGCTCATGACTCAAAAGTGTGTAGAACTCCTCATTCACATAGTCGAAAGAAATGATACAAGAACCAGTACGACAAGGATCCGAGGCAACCCAATTATGAAAGTCATTTATGTAACCATAAAATCTTTCACCTCGTGGGGCAGTAGGAGATTGGGGATATGGAATTTTTTTCCAGAAATTAGTTTTGAGCGACTACACCTCGGCAGCAGAATTGCTGAGAATTCTGATCACCTTGTAGTCCTTGGATGAGGGATCAAAACCCAAAACATAATAAATGAAAGCGTTCGTCCAAATCAGCGGCATGGAGGCGGTGGATCGCGGGAGGCTCCTTACCTCGTCGATTGTAGGGTTCCATAGAGCATCGACCATAAAAGAGTAGTTACCAAAAGAAGCCAAACATCAGCCCATTACAAAACGCATCTGGATAGAAGTGGCTGCTGCGCTCGGTGTCGAGAAACTAGAGCCGGTCGAAGACGACGTCGTACTTCCTTTCGTCGCGAGTGAGATTATGGCGTAGTCGACGCCTCCGTCTGCTAAGCGCGTGGCCACGAGGAATTCCTTATGACGATGTTCCTTCTTCGGATCAGGAAGAGATAACGACGTCGCCGACGGTGAGGCAGCGTCGGTCCCGCAGATTTGGGGGTTTTGATATGGAAAACAAATAAAATGAAATGCAATTAAGAAATTAATTTTGATCGAATTTTGAAACAATGACCTGGATAATATATGAAGATCGATTCATCTTAAATTCGATTTTGACGATGCTGATGATTGATTGAATAAAGAACCATTCAAAGGATGGTCTTCATAGCGAAAAGGAGAAAGATGAAGATGATTGATCGAGTTCAATAAAAAATGCAATTTATTTCAAATTTGTGGCTTAATTGAAATATAAAAATGTGTTTAGGTAAAATAATAATATTATAATAATTAAACACCATATTTTGTAATTTCTTTTAAGTAAGGGTATTTTAGTATTTACACAAGTTTTTTTCAAAAATTTTATTAAATTAATCAAAATATAGGACACGTGGCATCAATTTAAATAGGTATCTGATGTTAGATAAGTACGAGGTTGGTACGAGGCGAACCTGACAGTAGAATTTCCCTAATAAGTATCGTCAATGTTTGAGATACAAATGAGAAAAAGAAAAAGAAATAGGTCACGTTAAGTTGTGAATTTTATGCCATATGTGTATGCCTAGTTGATGAGGTTATATTACGAGTTTATCATGTTGTATGTATTTCTTAAATTAATTACTGAATCACTTTGTAGGCATGATGTGTTGTATATATTCTTGAATGGTGTAATTTCAAAGTTTTATGTGCTTAAGTTCATTATTGAAATTAAGTGATTGAAACAAAATTGGAAAAGAAAAGTTGTATGTGTATATATGTCATGTGTTTGAAATAAGCATACTGTGATGTATGTAATTCTTATGAATTATGGTTCTCACATTCTGTTTATGTAATATATTCATTGCCTGGGGGGAGAATTATTTACTTATATGAACTTGTTGGGGTTTTAGCTTTCTGGATTGATTTGTTATCACCTGGACTTTGGACTTTTGATTGGGTTTTAGTATTTGTGTATTTTCAGAATTTTATATGATCGATTCATGACTTTCCTTTAGGCCTTGGCATGTGGTTTAAGCGTGAGATAAGAAAAAGAAAAGACGCATGTCTGTATGTTGATTTTGATCCATTGTTGCTGATTGTACATGTTGAGCCTATTATATTGTTATCATGTTTAAAATGAAGTGGTTTTGGGCTTTGATTGATCATGTGCGGTGTTGAGCTCTTATACATCTTAGTTACTAGCTTGCTTGTGTGGCCTAATCAACCCAATCAAAACCTTTAGTAACAGTTAAATCCCTAATTTTTAGGTTTGAGGAGTCGAGCCCTCAACCTACCTTCTTCAGCTTGTGTGCTATTACCTTCTCAATTTCCAGATGGGTTTTATTTGAAATTTGCTATGCAATAAATTGTTTGCCTTACTTGTAGTATGATCAATGTATGCATGTAAACCATGTAGCCTTCGATGTGAGCTGTACCGGCTGTCGAACGGTTATCCCCGTATTTATGAAAAAAAACCCGAGGGGTTACTCATACTGACTGGGCATCGATAGAAACCTGAGGGCCATTCGGTGTATAAGCCTGGGCGAAGGCTTAGGCGTAGTGCCCGAGGGGAATTCGATGTAAGACCTGAGCGAGGGCCTTCGATACGTCTACCAGCAATAGTCTATTGGTATAGATGTGCACATGAGTCTGAACACTGTTAATTTATGATGAAATTTGGGATAATTAAATGATTCTTATACATGCTGCGATCATACTGATTTTCTATATTGATTATTGTTTACTGCATAGTGGTGAGCACTACGGTTTCTATTTGTGCTCACTCCCACCTGAAATTAACATTTCAGGTTGAGCAAGGGGGCATGACAGCGAGAAGGAGCGAGTGGTAGTCGGTCTTTATGACCAGAACATTATTTATTGCTTCTGCTATTTATGAACTGATTTATGATTCTATGAAACTATGAACTCTGAGAAATTATGAATAATGTTGGGGAGATGCCCCGTGAACACTGTGGTGATTTTTGGGAACCCGATTTGGGTGATTGATGACTTATGATTTTATGAACCCTTTATGGGAGTTGAATTTTATGTTTGATGAATCATGGTATGATATTGATGTTATGACATGGAAAGGATTTGAATAAAATGAGTAACTCCATAAAGTTATTTTAAAATGAGTTTTGAAATTTTTAAGTTGTTTTTTTCTGAAAAGCCATGGATTTTCGTTAAATCAAAGTGGGGCGTTACAGTTTGGTATCAGAGCCAGTCTGCGTTTTCTGTAGACTGGTATGCATGAATTATGTAAACTCTATGAAATAATTGAATATTATGATGCAGTTATGACCACTCGCTTCCGTCGTGCCGCGCCAACTCAGGTATGAATACATGAGTAATATTTAATTGCTTATGTGAAATATTATGATATTATGAGATGTAAACCGGGGCTTAGGAATTTATCCTCCTACTTTTAAACGTTCTTGAACTCTAGACGAGTGGAGAACTTAGTTGTATGAGATTGAACTCTAACGATATAGAGTTAAGTTCTGATTTGAGAATTTATTTGTTGAGAAAATTCGGTAGGATGTCATCGAGTTGTGTTCTGTCGTAGCAGTCCTCTCGATGTAAATTTAGTGTCTTTGAGTGAGGACCAGTCGCAAGCCATCTCAAAAGGAGAAGGCTTCAGTAAAGGGAGTAGACGACCGAATAAGTCCCAGGTACATGGGTTATTCGAAAGTCTGTAACTGTTGTCAGTAGCGTGTTAGAACCCAGTCGAATGCAAACTGGGAGTAGAGTCTGGGTGCCCTGTCCACGCTGTTGTTCGACCACGATGAGCGGTGTGAGAACCTAAAACATAACACCGTCGCGACTCTCGAGAGTTGCTAAGCCTCGAGAAAGGCGATAGTGACCTATTCTTTTGCAAAAATTCTCAAGCGAAGGAATCCGACCTTGTTCTTAAGGCGGATAGACCGATCCGACACCGCGTGAATATCTTATGCCGCAATTTCGAGTGACATTTCTGTCTTGAAAAAGACATCAAAATTCTCTTCCGTATATTGAGCCGCGAGCGATTTTCTAGTGACAGCGGGACTTACCGGGAACAGCATGAACCGACGATGGAAGCAGTGAATCGTGGACTCGTGAAGGCGAAGCAGTCGTGTTTCCTTTCTTAAATTTTTGTCTTTTTGTAGACTCTTGCAAACCTTTTTCCATTCGCATGGCAAAAAATTTTGAATTGTGCTTGAGGCTTCTTTTTGTTATCCAATTTTCGTATTTTGGGAATTTCGCTTGATCTCCCCCTTCCTGGCGTAGAATTTTATATGGAATTGAGTATCGACATTTTATTGATCCTTATCTTTTGAAACTTGTTTCGTGATGACTCTAACTCGATGCGAAAAGTTCCAGAGAGCAAGTAATGTTGCAGTTTGTGGGAATACAATAGCCTTGAGATAGGTGGCGAGCAATAGACACCGGTGGTTTACGATCGACCTAATTCTTTTCTCGTTTTATTTGGGGTGTAGCCGTGTTCAAACCCCTACCTTGGTTTCGCTATGTAGACAATTTTTCAAGCTTTCCAACTCTAAATTTCATTCTTTTTTTAAGTTTAGACAATTCTTATTTATCTTAATTTGGGTATTGACATTGTTTTGAAAAAACCTGATTGCAAGTAAGATTAAGCACCTTTTCGTTTCTGCTTAGCTTTATTCGCTTGCGAAGTATGTGATTTTCGTCGGGATGTCATCGCTAAGTTATCACGAAAACTCGAGGGCACAATTTTCTATCGCCACATTCGTGGATAACCTACCCTCGAGGAAGACGCTCGGCATCGAGATGAACGTGCAGAAGCAGAAGCCAACACCAATTGGTTCGATAAGAAAGATGGAGCGATTTGACGCATATTAAGGAGTGTTTTTCCACCTTAAAAGATTATGCAGAAATATTTTAAGGAGGATAGTCGAGTTAAGAGCAAGCACATCGTATGGTGCAGAACCGTTCTTATTCTAAATTTTGTCCATCGTAGAAACTTTCGTTCTTTTACTCCTTTCGGAGTTTCGGGAGGAACTTCACGCTTGAATTTCGAAGTGAGAAGATTTGGAAGTGAAAAATGAGTTGCGCTCGTTTAGGACTGCTGGCACGATTAGCTACTTGAGTAAGAGCTGACGTGACAGCCGACGCTGTTGGTCGGAAGAGTAGAGGCGAGCTAGTTGTTGTGTTTCTCGGCAGGAGCTATTGATTGGGATTATTCCTGACTGGAAAACCGTATTTGAATTCTTTTGAGAATTCTCGTCTATCACAAGTGTGTGATCTTTTTGCATATTATAGTATGTTGTTTTGGAAAGTAGTGGACTTGGAACTCGGACTTACACCTCGTTGTTTTTGAAACTCTTGAACTTTTGAGATTGTGAAAAGTTTGAAAAACACATTGTTTTTGTTGAACCCAAAATTTTTTGAAATTTGGTAAAACCATTCATTTTTGTGGATTGTCTTGGATGAAAATGTTCTTGTGGAACCTCGAACCGAAAGTCGACTCTGACTAGGTGTAGCCACGCGAGGTGGTGGCCGAGCACACATGACCGTGCTGAGAGACGTGAGGCTAGTGCGCGGCCGACCGTTGACTCGTACGAGAACTGCAGCTGCCATCACCATTCGCACGAACTCCCCGAGCCAGCGGGTGCGGCCAAACTTCGACCTTGCAGCTGGTCTCCAAGTAGGTGGGTACGCACGTGTTCCAACACCCCGCTTATGCAGCGCCAGCGAGAGTGCCGCCTCTTGGGTGACAGTGCACTAACCCC